GCAATGCAGTGGCAGTGACCACATCTAGTGAGTCTATTGGTGGTGAATGTTCCTCAGACAATGAGAGTGTGAGGTCTCGGGATTCCAGCCATTGTAATGTGTCTCAGTCGTCATGTGCTCAGAGAAGGGCTTATTCAGGGAAGCCAGTTCTGAGATGTTTTGCTTGTGAAAGGTTGGGGCCCATCGCACGATATTGCTTTAATGGTAATAGTAGTAAGCAAAGGAAATCTTGGTACCCCAAAACTGCACCAACATGCAAAGAAGTTTACTCTGCAAGGTGGGGCAGTTCTCCCAGGCATGGAGGCCACAGTAGCCAAAGCCAAGTCTCTTTTAAGACCCAAATAACGAGGTTACAATCTGAGAATAGTCAGCTAAAGCAAGAAAGACTTCAGTTTATGGATCAACGGAAAGAGCTGAAAATGGAGGTGTCTTCATATACGCAAAGATACTACACTGGGATGGACCACCATTTTGTTGATAGTCCATAGACAGTTGGATGAGTTGGACGTGTGGGATGAGTTTTTCCAATTACAGTTCTTTGGCATGCATTAAGATTTAGCTATACCTATAACACTGCCACCTCCCCCTCCCTCTCTGTCGGAGTCCCCCAAGGCTCTGTCCTCGGACCCCTCCTCTTCTCTATCTATACCTCCTCCCTTGGCAAACTAATATACTCCCATGGCTTCAATTACTACCTCTATGCCGACGACACACAAATTTACCTCTCCACCCCCCACCTCACCCCCTCACTCTCCGCCCGCATCGTCCACCTCCTAAACAACATATCAGACTGGGTGTCGCTCCATTTCCTCGAACTTAACCTGTCCAAAACCGAGCTCCTGGTCTTCCCCCCAACCCACGCCCCACCATCCTCTCCATCACTACTAACAACGCCACCATCACTCCCCCCCCACATGCCAAAGTCCTGGGTGTCACCCTGGACTCCCACCTCTCCTTCCTACCCCACATCCAATTACTATCAAGATCATGCAGGCTCCACCTCTGCAACATCTCCAGGATATGTACATTCCTCACCCCAGACACTACCAAACAACTCGTACACTCCCTCATCATCTCACACCTGGACTACTGCAACTCCCTCCACTGGCCTACCCAAATGAATGCTATCCCCACTCCAGTCGATCCTGAACTCAGCGGCGAGACTCATCCACCTCACCAACCGCTCCACATCCGCCACCCCCCTCTTCCAATCCATTCACTGGCTCCTGATTGCCCAACGCATCAAATTCAAACTGCTAACCCTGACCTACAAAGCCATTCACAATGCCGCCCCAAACTACATAACTGACCTGATACCCAAATACTACCCTACCCATGCCCTTCGCTCCTCACAGGACCTCCTACTCTCTAGCTCCCTGGTCTCCTCCTCCCACACCCGATTGCAGGATTTCTCCAGGACCTCCCCCATCCTCTGGAATTCCCTACCCCAATCCATCAGACTGTCACCTACCCTCATCACCTTCAGGTGCACCCTGAAGACCCACTTCTTCAGCGAAGCCTACCTCACCCTCACCTAACATCTGACCTCCTCCACTCCTTCCACCACTTAATTCCCCACAGCCATTTCCTCCTGTACCACTCTCCCCTCCCTCCTAGATTGTAAGCTCGAAAGAGCAGGGCCCTCGAACCCCTCGTGTATTGTATTGTTACTGTTTTGTCTCATGTTCTGTCCACCTTGCTATTGTACAGCGCTGAGCAAAACCCTTTGGAGCTATATAAATACTGTATAATAATAATAAATAATAATAATAATTTAGCTACTGCTCTCAGAGATTTGGCCTCAGTATTTGGAACATTAATGGAAGACCTTGGCATATTTTTATGTTTCCAAGGACAAGCCTTCATGATTTAGTTTTATTTAAAGTCAGGTGGGAAATAAATTCCAAATTGTTTTTGTAGTTTGTATAGTTTCAGCCACCTGAAATACAGTTGCCTAAAGGTTGCCATTGACATGGGTGGGTATAGGATTATAACTTTTTTTTTTTTTTTTTTAATGGTTGAACTGGATGGACTTTTGTCTTTTTCAGCCAGACTAACTATGGAACTATGTAAGGGAGGGAGACTGCTAGCAGCTCCATCCATGTATGTAAAGAGAAAAACCTGTTTTTCAACATTGTGTACAGTGAAGGAAATAATAGCACAGAATAGCAACAAAAAGTCAAAAGAAATGCAGGTCTAACAAATGATAACTGATCTGCATGTTCATGAGGGAAAGAAGGATTTGATCCCCTATCATTCAGCAGGATTTCTGGCTCCCAGGTGTCTCTCATACAGGTAACAAGCTGAGATTAGAAGCAGTCTCTTAAAGGGAGTGCTGCTAATCTCATTGTGTTACCTGTATAAAAGACACCTGTCCAAAGGAGCCATCAAACCATCAGATTCCAAACTCTCCACCATGGCAAAGACCAAAGAGCTGTCCAAGGATGTCAGGGACAAGATGGTAGACCTACACAAGGCTGGACTGGGCTACCAAACTATGGCCAAGCAGCTTGGTGAGAAGGTGACAACAGTTGGTGCAATCATTCACAAATGGAAGAAACACAAAACAAGTGTCAGTCTCCCTAGGTCTGGTGCACCATGCAAGATCTCACCTCGTGGAGTGTCAATCATCATGAGAACAGTGAGGAATCATCCCAGAACTACACGTGAGGATCTTGTCAATGATCTCCAGGCAGCTGGGACCACAGTCACCAAGAAAACAATTGGGAACACACTATGCCGACAAGGACTGAAATCCTGCAGTGCCCGCACGGTCCCTCTGCTCAAGAAAGCACATGTCCAGGCCCGTCTGAAGTCTGCCACTGAACATCTGAATGATGCAGAGGAGGACTGGTGGAAAGTGTTGTGGTCAGAGGAGACCAAAATCCAGCTCTTTGGCATCAACTCAACTCGCCGTGTTTGGAGGAGGAGGAATGCTGCCTATGACCCCAAGAACACCATCCCAACTGTGAGACATGGTGGTGGAAACATTCTGCTTTTGGGGGGGTGCTTATCTGCTAAGGGGACAGGACAACTGCACCGCATCAAAGGGACGATGGACGGGGCAATGTACCATCAAATCTTGGGTGAGAACCTTCTTCCCTCAGCCAGGGCATTGAAAATGGGTGGTGGATGGGTGTTCCAGCATGACAATGACCCAAAACACACGGCCAAGGCAACAAAGGAGCGGCTCAAGAAGAAGCACATTAAGGTCCTGGAGTGGCCTAGCAAGTCTCCACACCTTCATCCAATTGAAAATCTGTAGAGGGAGCTGAAAGTTTGAGCCACCAAACCTTAATGACTTGGAGAGGATCTGCCAAGAGGAGTGGGCCAAAATCCCTCCTGAGATGTGTGCGAACCTGGTGGCCAACTCCAGCAAACGTCTGACCTCTGTGATGGCCAACAAGGGATTGGCCACCAAGTACTAAGTCATGTTTTGTGAAGGGGATCAAATCCTTCTTTCCCTCATGAACATGCAGATCCGTCATCATTTGTTAGACGCATTTCTGCTGAATTTGTTGTTGTATTCTGTCTCTCAGTGTTACACCGAACATTCCATTGTTAGACCGATCATTTCTGTGTGAGGGGCGAACATTCCATTGTTAGACCGATCATTTCTGTGTGAGGGGCGAACATTCCATTGTTAGACCGATCGTTTCTGTGTGAGGGGCGAACATTCCATTGTTAGACCGATCATTTCTTTGGGCAAACCTTCTACATCAGCAGGGGAGCAAATACGCATTTCCTTCACTGGGTGTGTGTGGTTCATACAGTGTTTGAGTTGCTGCTTTGTGTTTTTTTTTTGTAATTTTTATTATCATGTCAAAGTGGTGACACGGGTCTAATACGTTTAACATCCTGCAGGCTCTTTGCTCTTAATGAGAATAGAGGGAAAAGGTTGAAAGCCGCATTCCATCTGGGTTTTGTTTTTAAAGTAAGAAGAATTTTTTTTATCTTCAAACACAATGTTTAAGAATTTCTTGTTTTTCTTGTCTTTCAGATGTTGGAGGCCTGTGACTGGAAATGATCATTTGCAAGTGAAGAACAGAATGCCATGAAAAGCTGTGTGTTGTGTTGATACCAACTTACATGAATTACAAAGACTTTAACCACTTCATGTCCAGCCCATGTGGATAAATGGCTGCACGGGAGCAGTGCAGGGGCGGGTGGCCATTTATGAACGTCCTCCCCGCTCCCTGATTGTGCGCGCTTCCAGGGAACGCACAGCGATCCGGTGCCAGCTGTGTCCTCCGGACCCAGCAGAACATTGATAGTTGGATGGGACCTCTGTGTGAGGTCCCAATCATATGATCACTAACTGGCCAATCAGTGATCACATGAAGAGTAGTAAGCAAGATGTCACTTCTTACATCATTGCTTACTACTAATGAAATCTGTGAATGATCACAGAGATCACATGGTACAGGGCTATTCACAACAGCTTTGTACCATGTGGCAAGCTGTGACCAATCACATCTCTCACAGTATTTCTCAATGGTTGCAGGAATGCAGCCAGAGAGAAGGAGAAATGATTGCTTTTACAGCCTTTATGGGTGTAAAAGCAATCAGTGTAAAGAAAAAAAAAATCTTCATCACCCCCCACAAGTACAGTGTCACTATGGTGACCCCACACTGCTAGGGTGATAATATATTAAAAAAGAAAAAAAACCCATAAATATTAATATAAAAAAAATAAAATAAAAATGTAAAAAAAAATCTTGAAAAATTATAATTTTTGGTTATAAACTAATTTGGGTTATTTTTTTTTTACTAAAAAGATAGCTGAATACATTTTGGCCAAGATTTATGAAGAAAGATTATTTATTTGCAAAATTTTACAAGAAAAACACTATTTTTCAAAATTTTTGGACATTTTCATTTATATAGTAAAAAAATGAAAATCCCAGCAGTGAATAAATACCAACAAAATAAAGTTTTATCTGTCTCAAAAAAATGCTAAAAAATGTATATGGGTACAGTGTTGCATGACCGCGCAATTGTCATTCAAAGTGTGATAGCGCTGAAAGCTGAAAATTGGCCTGGACTGGAAGGGGGGGAAAGTGTCCGGCCTGGAAGGGGGGGAAAGTGTCCGGCCTGGAAGGGGGGGAAAGTGTCCGGACTGGAACTGGGGGGTGAAAGTGTCCGGACTGGAAGTGGGGGAAGTGTCCGGACTGGAAGGGGGGAAGTGTCCGGACTGGAAGGGGAGGAAAAGTGTCCGGACTGGAAGGGGGGGAAAGTGTCCGGACTGGAAGCGGGGGAAGTGTCCGGACTGGAAGGGGGGGAAGTGTCCGGACTGGAAGGGGGGGAAAGTGTCTGGACTGGAAGCGGGGGAAGTGTCCAGACTGGAAGGGGGGGAAGTGTCCGGACTGGGAAGCGGACTGGAAGGGGGGAAGTGTCCGGACTGGAAGTGTCCGGCTGGAAGGGGGGGAAGTGTCCGGGGGGGGAAAGTGTCTGGACTGGAAGGGGGGGGGGAAGCGGGGGGAAGTGTCCAGACTGGAAGGGGGGGAAGTGTCCCGGACTGGAAGGGGGGAAGTGTCCGGACTGGAAGGGGGGGGGAAGTGTCCGGACTGGAAGGGGGGGAAGTGTCCGGACTGGAAGGGGGGGGGGAAAGTGTCCGGACTGGAAGGGGTTAAACTAATGGACTTACCGAGCAATGGACTTTCTACCATCATTTTTTTCCATTTTTTTTTTTATCTTTTATCTCTCGATCTTTGTCTTAAAACCAGAGAGAGATATTTAAACCTGATGATCATTTTACAACCTGTATATCCTGTACTCTCTGTATACATGTAACTCCTCAGGTGAGATGCTACACAATGACTTTGCATAACATAACGTATTGGGTGTCGGAGGATTTGCACACAGACACTCAGACTGGGTAGAATAAGTTGAGAATATAACACTTTGGGAGGCTTTCTTTAAAATTATAAGAGGGATGAGCGAAAGTTATCACTCCGGTCAGAATTTAGATTTTAACTTAATTGAATGATGGGGATATTTTAGAGGCTGGTGAAGAGAGATGTAAGTTTCAATTTCATATTTTATGTATGAAGCATTCAGTATCTCAAATCACAATGCTACTCTGCTAATTGATTATATGTTCACTATTTGTGAATTGATTCTGAGTAATAACCGATTCAAGTGGGGGCATGTAGGGATATTGTAATTTTATATATTCTTCAAGATGGCATCCGGAGCGGCCGCATAATCGCCAGCTCCGGCGCCCCCGCCGAATCCGCCGCCATCCGCCACCATCCGGGAGGTAGCGGGCTCCAGAGCATCCCCCGGAGGTCCTTCCAACACCCAGAAGGGGTTCTGGGCGCTCTGTCCCTCCGGCGGTGCCCCGGCGGCTCGCGGCCTACCATGGCCCCTGAAGCCGTGGCCTTTCCTGCCGGCCGCAGCCCACCAAGATTCCCCGCTCCAGAGGGGACACAACCCCCGCTCCAGTGGGGACGCCACCACCACCCCCTCCCCCGTCGGCACCCTCACCAACCGCTCCAGTGGTCCTGCCATCGACCTGAGGAGTACTGAGCGCCCTGTCCCCTGCGGCCTATCAACCAGGATGCCGCCGCCCGCGCCAGAGAGAGGGGAGCTACCACCATCGCTTCCCCTACCTACAGCCACCGCAGAGAAAGGGGAAGCAGCAACCACCCCCACCAGCACCGAGAGAATAAGCCCCCACCACCCCCGGCACCAAGAGGGTAAGGCACCGCTACCAGATCTGCTTCTCTACTCCCCACCGTGTACCACACAGCCGTGCCCCTGCCACCGCACAGCCCCGAGGCCCACCCAATCTGGTGGAGGCGAGCCTTTCACGTGGCCTACAGCACCCACTGACGCCGGACCCTACAACACCTGCGGTTGCCGGACCCTGCCGCTCCTACAGACGCTGAGCCCCATAGCACCCCCAGTCACTGGTCCGCAGCATCCACATGCACTGGCCTACAACACCCACTGATGCCGGGCTCTACTGCACCTACCAACGCCTAGCCCACTCCGCCTCCAGACGTCGGCCTACACCACCTCCAGACGTCGGCCTACACCACCTCCAGACATCGGTATGCACCACCTCCTGACACCGAGCCCTCAGCGCCTCCTGACACCGGGCCCTCAGCACCCCCGGACGCCAGGCCTACAGCACCTCCAGACTCTGAGCCGTCAGCATCCCCAGACGCCATGCCCTACAACGCCCCCAGTCACCGCGCCAAACAGCTCGTCCAGTCGCGGAGCCACCGTACCCACCGACGCCGTGCCACACAGCACCCACGGATGCTGGACTGCAACTACCCAGCTGCCGACCCAGCTGCCCACCACTCTCACTCTCCTCCTACAGATGGACACAGATGAACTCTGCCACGGCGTGACAGACTCTCCTCATCATCACGCCCTGATGTGAAACCTTACACCTCCCCCAATCTGACCAGCACTCCGCTCACCCTAACATGTCAGCTGCACTCCTCGTATTCCTCTCCTCCATTCCCAAAATCCCCTCCCTCTACCCCCCTACTCCCCCAAAACAGCTATACACTGCTCCTTCACGTCTTCCCTCTCCCCACTATGGCTCTCACCACCTCCTCCTAATACTCCACTCTCCCGCTGACCCACATGCCACCACTAACAGATCCACACGCTCCTGCACATCCCGTTCCCATGCCACCTTTCTCAACCTTCTCCTTCTCCTAACCGCCGGGGACATCTCCTCGAACCCTGGCCCCCCACCTCCCCACTCCCCCTCTAGGCACCCTCCTGCTCCCGCCAGCCTCTGCAACCTCCTCAATCTTATACCTGTCCCCCTCCTCTCTCGGTTGCACTCCTGAACGCCCGTTCGGTTTGCAACAAGCTCACCGCCATCCATGACCTCTTTATCTTCCACTCCCTCAACCTCCTAGCGGTCACCAAAACATGGATCCAAGCCACTGACTCCACCTCCCCTGCGGCACTCACCTATGGAGGCCTTGTCTGGACCCACTCACCCAGACTGAGTGGTCGCAGAGGTGGTGGGGTCGGCATGCTCCTGTCACCGCTGAGCACCTTCCAGGTCCTCCCTAACCCCCCTCTCTATCCTTCTCCTCCTTCGAGGCCCACTGCATCCGGCTCTTCTCTCCCACCCCTCTGAGGATTGCAGTAATCTACCGGCCTCCTGGACCCGTATCCCGCTTCCTGGACGACTTTACCGCCTGGCTTCCCTTCTTCCTCTCCTCTGAGCTACTGACCATCATCCTTGGAGACTTCAATATCCCTATCAATGTCAACAACCCAGCTACTTCCCAACTCCTCCTCCTAACCTCCTCTTTCGCGCTCACACAGTGCACCCAGTCCTCCACCCACACCAATAGGAACACCCTGGACCTCATTTTCTCCCACCTCTGTACCCTCTACAACTTCAGTAACACCCCCTTCCCCTCTCTCTGACCACCACCTCCTCACGTTCTCCGTCTCCCCATCCTCTAACTCCCCCCCCCAAAGCATCAAACCATCACCAGCCGTAACCTCCGCAACCTGAACCCGGCCCCTCTCCACTTGGCAGCTGACCATCTGTACGACAGTATCCTTCCACTGTCATGCCCTGACCTGGCCACTAATGTGTACTACGACTCACTGTCAGCTGCCCTAGACTCCCTGGCACCCCTAACCACACGTAACATCAGACCCCGACCGCTTCAACCCTGGCAGAATGACCATACAAAATGTCTCAAACAATGCAGTCGAGCGCTGGAGCGATTATGGCGCAAAACCAGATCCCCTCGAGCATTCTCCCTCTACAAATCCGCCTTCCTCACCTACACCTCCTCCATCCACGCCTCCAAGCAAGCCTACTTCATAACCCTCATCAACACCCTCTCCACCTGTCCTCGCCGGCTCTTCTCCACTTTCAGCTCCCTGCTCGCTCCTCCACTCAGTAGTATCTCACTCACCGCCCACGAGATTGCCAATCATTTCCAAAACAAGATTGACGCAATCCGTAAGGACATTGTCAATTCACAATCTACCTCTCCACCGAGCCTCCCTCCTTCCATCACCCCCTCAACTTTCCCCTCCTCTGACCTCACAACCTTACTGCCCCCCACCACACCTAACATGCAGCACACTATAACCTCCCCAACATTCCGCTTCTTCAGCCCTGCTACCACTGAGGAGGTCACTAAGTTCTTCCCAGAAGCAAGACTCACCCTTGCCTCCTGGACCCTATCCCCTCACAACTCCTCCGGTCACCCCCCTCCTCCATCATTCGCTCCCTCACCCACATTTTCAATCTTTCTCTCTCTACTGGCACATTCCCCTCCCCCCTAAAGCACGCGCACATCACCCCCATACTCAAAAAACCCTCCCTGGACCCCACTGACCTGAACAACCTCAGACCCATCTCCCTGCTGCCACTAACTAACAACCTCCTTGAGCGCTTAGTCTACAATCGCCTAAGCGCCCACCTCACTGACAACAACCTCCTTGATCCACTACAGTCTGGCTTCTGTCCCCTGCACTCCACCGAAACCGCCCTCCTCAAAATCACTAACGACCTGCTAACCGCCAAAGCGAACGGCCACTACTCAATCCTCCTACTCCTTGACCTCTCCGCGGCCTTTGACACAGTCGAACACCCCCTCCTCCTTAATAAACTACACTCCCTTGGCATCAGAGACTCCGCCCTCTCCTGGTTCTCCTCTTACCTATCCCAACGCTCCTTCAGCGTCACCTATAACGCTGCCACCTCCCCCTCTCTGTTGGGGTCCCTCAAGGCTCTGTCCTCGGACCCCTTCTCTTCTCCATCTAAACCTCCTCCCTTGGCAAACTGATACACTCCCACAGCTTCAACTATCACCTCTACGCCGATGACATGCAAATTTACCTCTCCACCCCTCACCTCACCCCCTCAGTCTCCGCCCGCATCACCCACCTCCTAAACGACATATCAGACTGGATGTCACTCCATTTCCTCAAGTTAAACCTTTCCAAAACATAGCTCCTAGTTTTCCCCCCAGCCCGCGTCCCCCTATCCTCTCCATCACGACTAACAATGCCACCATCAATCCCACCCCACAAGCCAAAGTCCTAGGTGTCACCCTGGACTCAAACCTTTCCTTCCAACCTCATGTCCAATCACTATCAAATTCATGCAGGCTCCACCTCCGCAACATCTCCATGATACGTACGTTCCTCACCCCAGACACCACTAAGCAACTCGTATACTCCCTCATTAATTATCTCACGCCTGGACTACTGCAACTCCCTTCTCACCGGCCTACCTCTACGCAGACTATCCCCGCTTCAGTCTATCCTGAACTCAGCGGGCAGACTCATCCACCTTACCAACCGCTCCGCTTCTGCCACCCCCCTCTGTCATTCCCTCCACTGGCTCCCGATTGCCCAACGCATTAAATTCAAATTACTAACACTGACATACAAAGCCATTCATAACACTGCCCCAAACTATCTCACCGACCTGATACCCAAATACCACCCTACCCGTGCCCTTAGCTCCTCACAAGACCTCCTACTTTCTAGCTCCCTGGTCTCCTCCTCCCACGCCCGACTGCAGGACTTCTCCAGGACTTCCCCCATCCTCTGGAACTCCCTACCCCAATCCATCAGACTGTCACCTACCCTCCTCACCTTCAGGAGCTCCCTGAAAACCCATCTCTTCAGG